ATATTATTATATGAGTGATTATGATGTCACTGCAACACTTTAGCTTAAATTTATGACATATGACATATTCCAGTTACCAGATGACTTACCATTTGAAGACATCCTGGTGGTAGCTCAGAAGTTGTATGAGAAGAATGATCCAAGTGATTTGGAATCTGAAGTTGCCGCTCTTGAAAGGAGAGAGTAAGTATTTTTAAAATTAAACTGGTTAACTCCACTGGTTTCATAAATATTAACCTTTTAGGCCTGGGCTTCAGTTTTCACCTTCTTTTCCTCGTATGAGCGAGTGTCAATAGACAATAGATATATTCAGATGAATATTTTTAATACTGTTACGTGATAGTATTTAAATTTGGTGAAGTTTGCCATCAAAACTTTGCTTTAGATGGACAAACTAAAAATTTGGTTTGTTATTCCCAGAGAGGAGCAGCGAAAAGTCGATGACGAGCGCATGCGTCGGCGTAGAGCGGGTCGTGTGGTGCCGTCTCCCTCTCTCCCGTATCGCCTCGCGAGATACCTCCCCGCGCCCCTCCGCCGCACCCCGCGACGCACGCTCTTGGCCCTCACGGCGGCCATCTTGGCGGTCTACGTTTACTACAAACCGGAATTGTTCAGGTAGCGGCACGCATATCAGTTTGTCCTTTTCGCACTGTGAACTAAAAATAGAGATGGATACTTTATTTTGTCCTTTAAGAGAAATTTTGAATATTGTTTACACTTGGGTGGGTGGGTAATGTTAGACTTTGTTAGATTGTGTTAATGTTTTAAGGAAATATAAATTTATTATTTTTCTAATACTTTCTTGCACAAAACACTATTAATCCTTTGAATTTTTAAGTGCTATATTGTTCCTATAAATCTTATGTTTTAATTTGTTTGTGATCGTATTCATTCCTTAAACTTAAGCGCTTTATCATCTCACGGTGCTTCACGTTGCTTGGACAAACTGATATTGATCCTTTGTGGATCGTATTGTATTAGTGTAAGGAAATTTAGGGGTATAATAAAACCTATTTATTTGAGTAGTGTTTAAATATTGTATAGTACTGTGGTACCGTTTTGCACTTTTGTAGGCAAGTAGACAGCGTCTGTACATTATATAGATAGCATTTTAAATGTCAAGTGTCAAAATATTGATAAACAACATAGACAAATGTCAATTGTCAAATAATACAGTGCTGGTAAAAAGTATTATACATTTAAATTGTTAAGTGGCATGTTAATTATGCGAGTTTAGTGTTTATCGATGTGGTTATAAAATACAAGCGAGCGACATGAACAACGATTTGGGGAAATGTATTTAAATTGATTAAAAAATTCGTCATATATTTTGCATGTGAAATAAAATAATGGGAGTTAAAGTCAACCAGAAGACCTTACTTATCGAACGATACAGTTTTACACATGTAGCATTGTCTCAATCTGTCATTTTATACAAAACAGTTGTTTAAATAGTACAACAATTTGACATCAACACAATAAAGTCTAAAGATTTTAAAAATGGCCAATAGGTAATTAAAGTCCCAATAAATAGAATAACTGGCTTTCAAAGGAAATTAACTGTGTTTTTCTCCTCTTTTAATTTAGCATAAATTTACAAAGCTTTTTGTGTCTTCCATGCAATAATTACTTTGATGACCGCCATTTTAAGATCAGGTGATTGTATCAGTTTAATTCTAAGTTGTAATGAAAGGCGTAAATACCATTTGTCAGAGACACAGTGTAATTAGATTGATTTATTTTTGATAATTAAGGGATTGGTTTTTTCAAAAATATCAAGATTAGATGTTCCCCAAATGTTGTACAACTCATTAAATTATTTATTGGATTTATAAAATTAATCATCACTAATGTGTTAAAATGTGATATTATTTAAATATTTTCGTTACATTTAAGCTGTCATGCGATAAAGCGATTCTCATTGTGTAAATATTATTTTAATGCATTAAGTTTTAATATGTTAAAGTTCTAGAGTCTTTGGGTAATGTAGAATTTACAAAACGGTGTAGAATTAAAAAAAAATGTAATCGAAAAACTGTTATTGTAAAGGTTGCATTATAATGTATATTGACGGTTGTGTTTTATTTTCTTTCGTCGCTGAAACTGGGAATACCATAATCAAGACTTTTCATAAATTGTACTCCTTAAAGCATTAAAGACATTTCATAAGTTTCTATTACTATTTAGACATTTCATAAGTGTCAAATACTATTTAGGCATACAGTCAAAACCGTTTATAACGACATTGAAGGGACCGTATAGTTGCCGACGTTATATCTAGTTAAGGTATGAGTATCACCAGTATCAAACTGTTCGTTAAAGGCAACAAATTTTTGCAAAATTGTTACAGCGTTAAGAGCTTCGGAAATCGTTGTTGGCTGAAACTGTTCGTTGGGAGAAAGTGCGTAGGTAATAATATGCCTAAATATTCATTCAATGCTTATAAATAAGATTTAAAATAGTTTGTATTGTTTTGTTGAGACAAGAAGCGGTTGGTCGTTATAGCCGATGAATATCGATAAAATTTCGTCGTTGTAAGCGATATGTCGCTGTATCCGATGTTGTTATAAGCGGTTTGTTTACTGAATAGTTTACTAGGGATTCGGACGGGACCATACAATCTGGTTGTAATAACCGATAGGTTGTTGTAAACGATGTCGTTATAAACGGTTTTGACTGTAATAGGTGTCAAATACTATCTAGACCAGTGCTTCCCAACTTGTTTGTACCAAGCCCCACCTTAGCCTTTCTAAGATTCTTATGACCCAAACACATAATTTTTAATATAAAAAAATTGAATTGTTCTCTTAAGAAATTTAAATGATAGGTTTTAGGAAGAAATCACTAGAAAATTGTTAACGAAACAGTAAGCAAATTTTCAAAACATACTGAAAAACCGAAATTCATATTTCAAATAATTTTAATGAACTTCCGAATAGCCCCCTTATCAATCGGATTGCCCCCCTGTGGGGCGTGAGCTCCATGTTGGGAAACACTGTTAAGTGTCAAATACTATTTAGACATTTCATATGAGCCAATACTATCTAGAAGATAAGAAAGATAAACCACTCCTTATATGGAAATTGTATTCGTTTTTACAACAAACTCCCAAGCGAAATTAGAGAATTATCACTAAATAAATTCAAATCCCTCGTTAAACGGAAATTAATCAATAAAGCCTTTTATAAATTTGAGGAATACTTAAATGATCCTAATCCTTGGGATTGATTTGCTCCAGTTCAAACAATTTGTATGACAATACTTGGCGATTAAAAAGAGTGGCGGAAAGTTTCTTGCCAGTTCTTACCCGCTCTACGCCCTTGACTTGCGAACTGGTAGTAAATGTAAATTTACAATTTCACTTGACAATTCGTAAGTGTAATTATTAACCTACACGAATAAAGATATTTTGAGTTTTTAGACATTTCATAAGTGTAAACAATCTTGCTTTATGGGCCCTGGTTTTCAGCGCGAAGGTTCTAGGTTCGAAGCCGGGAAACAATATTTAGATTAAACAGCTAATGAATTAAACATAGCTGCTTTAATAAAATTCACACTTTATGATGTCATTTTATTACAGGTTTCGTGATAGCGAAGAGTGATTAGAAATAAAAGTCAATATTTGTTTATATTTTTATTTGAGTTCCGTTTACACGATGATTTTAACTGACGTAAATATTAGTATGAATAAAATTTTCATACAGATATTGGAAGCAGACATTATGAAATCTTGAGGCCCGTAAAAGGATTTTTTGATTTCGTTATTGCGATGATATGACATTTCATGTTTCACGTGATTAAGGTAGGTACATCATATCGTCATGATCGTAGAACAATGTGGGATTTGAAAAAAATCCAAAATCTACTTTTTATTATATTTGGACATAACCGTGACCAAATATTACCATGTGTTTTAAATTTAAAATTAATCAGTCGGTAAAGTGACGGATTCGATAGGTACGCTCATAGAAGCATGTGATTTTTCTAAAAAACTGTTTAATGTTATTCTTTTTATTTTGTTTCAAAACAAACCCTTTTGTTTGCTTGTATGCCAATTTTCATAATTACAGAATATGAATTAAAAAAGTTATGACAAAAACTAACATGATTATATTATTTTAAAATGGCTGCCCTGTAAAGTTTACTATTTGTCAGATCTGTCACTATTCTATGACTATGACGATATGTTAACTAATAGTTTTATAAGTAGCGGAACCTAAAAACACTTTCAAGGCCCTCAATTCAAATGTTAGTACATTTTTAAGTTTAAAACGTCTGAGGTCCAACAGACAACAGTGATCAATGGACTGGAAAGACAGCATTTACATCACAGCCGAAAGAACTTAGATTAATATTACACGTAGTAGAGATTCATTTAATATTATTCCTTAGAGAGCTTATTTAACGGTGTTTTGTGAACATTCATAAAATTATTTCAAAGTTTCATCATACACTGAGATTGTTTTTCTATTCTAAGTACATTTTTATTATACTTACAGTTATATTGGAACAAAGAATTATTATTAATTATTACCAAAGTTTACTTAGCATTTCGTTTTGGTGAGAAAATGGCATTATTTGCTCTTCTACGATTTCATAAAATTAATACCCAAGAAAAAGAATTGCACGAAAATGAGTCGGCAAGTTTATGGTAACTATAAAATGAGTATTGACAGTTTCTATATTTATTATGATTAAAGAACAAACAAACAATCATATAAAATATTCTTAATATGATTGGAATATTTTCTGATCTTAATTCGCTAAGTTGTCATGGATAAAAACAAAATATAATTTGATGTTTACAATGCGTAAAGTAGATGAATAATGACGGTACTTTTAGTACCTATGACTTGAGGCAATTTTAAATCTTATAACTAAATACAATATTCTAATAAAATCTTCTATTCACTTATAAAATGAGGACTAATTTCAATATGCTAAACGAATTAACTATGCACCATTACCTTAAATACTTTACCGGTGATTAATTATCTATTTTAATCATTCTTCATTACCGTAGTGATATAGTCCAGTACTCGTGGGTCGTGGAGTATCTTCAGATGTTCCGCTTGCTTTAAGGGCACGGATTTAATTGGCTTGTTCTTGTTGAGCGTTGTGAAGCCTCGCCGCTTCGCCCAGTGCTCGCAAGCGCTAAGAGATCGTAGATTGACGGTGCCGTCGCCGTCTCCCATTATCAGCGTTGGGTAGCCATCCAGCCACGTGCCTGGCTTGTATTCGAGTCTGTAAATTGTTATTAAAATTAAATAAAAAAAAATATAATTATGATTGGTAAGTAGTAGTACTTAGTGCCTGTGTACAAATGTATTTTTAAGCAATTAACACAAAGTTAAACGAAAAACGAATGTTAAAATGAATTTATTTTAATAAACATACTTTTCGACTGTAGATATGTTGTACCCATAGACGCAGTGTACTTCGACTCCTGGCGCTGAGAAGTCTTGAGTGAATTGTTGCGTGTCTTTCCGCATCTCCCACGCATTTGGAAGGTCCATGTCACTAAGATGTAGAATAATTTATTATCAAACAAACAAAGCAATATAATATTAAACATATGATAAGCATACATTGATTGGCGGAGCAAAATTATTGATTTCAATGAGAAATTTAAAAAAAATCTCGTAAGTTTTAGGTAACACAGCTGTCGTAGCCTGACTGATGTTTCTGACTATATCCGTTAAGAAACATGGATCAAAATCAAAGGTCGAGGTTCAGTAAAGTCATAAAAAGATAATATACATGTATTTATAAGCTATAATAAATTATTAATAATATTATAGTCGATATTAAGTAGTAGTTAATTCACTTACGTAAACAGCTTTTGTAAATCGTTGATGGTATAGTTGAACTTATCAGTCTGCACTAGCACTTCAGTAGGCTTCCAGAAGTTAGGCGAAGGCAGCAGCCACGCGAGTGAGGGACAGGTGATCTGCTCCGTACGCATTGTACTTTCGCGCAGCATGAGAGAACCCAGGTCGTCCCCTAAAGTGAATAACATTCTAAGAGACTTCCAATAGTTTAATTTCGTCATTTATATACAGAAAGATCTACATATCTAAAAATCTATTCCAAACTGAAATGTAAGTCTAAAGTTAATTATTATTTTTTGTTTGAACTTGTTATTATTTAAATTACTCATTTTTAGAAGAATATTAGAATAAATGATTTAAATTTAGTTTTCCTTGCAATTAAAGTTATTACTTGTCTTATCATATTGTGATTATCTCAACAAAATCAAGTAAAATTATGGTAATTGAAAATATATATATTATAGAATAAGTTTATCTTATCATAATAATTCAGTGTTTTTTCATATAATATATGAGATATACATTATACAATCATGACCAACTAACCCAAATATACTATCGGAAGAAATTAACTTTTTTGATAATCATACTTAAGAATTAATTCAAGGACTTTTATTATTTATTACTAATAAACATAATTCAATGTCATATTAACTAAAGTTGTTAAGCAGTGTAAGCTTGAAACCAAACAAACTCACTTTAAACAAGGAAAACCAAGTCAACAAAAGTTTGTGTAGGTACTACAGAAGGATATTGACTCTGCATGTTTTGAAAAGTATGATTAAGAACCTTTTGTTTGTGTCAAGTCATTGTTTACACATTTTGTTTTCCTTAAACTGCAATGAATGAAATGACTACGGGGAAAACTGGAATTTACATGTACATTTATCTAAATAAAAAGTATATTACATTTTATGTAGAATTTTGTTATCAAAGGCACAAACACAATAATATTTATTTAGAATCACTAAACCTATTTAAGCCAAATTATGATCTTAAGCTTAGTCAAATAGTATAAAAGGATTATCGTAATCTAAATACACTTTAAGTAACTTCAATAAAAAATTGATTAATAAATAAACTAAGGGACGATTGTATTATCTTTAAGTACCACAATGACGTTCTTTATTTTTAATATTGGAATACTCTGAATTACATATGTTTCTGAAAACTGATTAACTTATACCTTACTGATTTCTTTAATTTAATAACACAAAACATATAATACAGAGAACCTTGTTTCCATTGAGACAAGTATTTTCAGGATGGACCTAATTATCTACAACAAAGATTTGGGTATTTATTGTTGCATGTAGAAATATAGTATGTAGAATCCTAAATATTTGATTTTACTGTACTTATTGTAGTAATTTAGTCCTTAGTAAACTAAACTCACCAATAGCAAACACCTTCAATGCTTTCATAGCTCCACCCCAGGGTGTGGACAAAGACAGCAATCTTCTTATATACTGATCCTTCCATGCCTGTGACTGCAGTCTCAGGAAATGTAGAGCCATTGACCCACCCATACTATGTACCAGCAGAGTCACTTGGGACTTATTATTCATGTTATATGTTTCTTCTACAAGTGATTTTAATTTGACAAAAAATTCCCCATTCTCATCTAGAAAAAATAGTAATTTTAATTAAAAATCTTATCTGACATAATCCTATATATATCCCCAGTGTCTATCATGTATCAGTATCTCATGAATCCATGCTTTTTTTAATTAGTAAAACAAAATTAAATACTTACTTGGTGCCCTCCTAAAATCGTAAGGTGCACCACGAAGTGATTGGTTTCTTACATATCCTATTTTGACTAGAGCATCACCTATGCTATTAAAATAAGCACCCTCAGAATCATGGGACGGGTCCAACCACTCCACTGGCTCAGGGTATCCCCATCCCGGCACCCTTATGTCTACACCAGGAGGATTTTTTGTGGTCCTTGTTACATTATCATAATCTAATCTAGTATTATCCACCCAACAATCAATCACAAATGGCACCAAAAGTTCTAAATTTAGCCAAATATTGAAATAATCATTGGATGTTTTTGCACATATATAATGGACAACCTCAGATTTATTTAATACAGCTTCCAGTTGACTTCCACCATCTCCTGGTACTGAAATAAATAAATAAAAATATCAGCAAAGAAGATGTTAGTAAATTGTAATTTAATAACTGCATAACATTGTCGCTTTCTAGAACATTGTATTATGATAGTAAAATGTAACTTACTTAAAATAACTGGAGATAATCCCAAAGAGTTTCTTGCAAATAAACAAAACACAGTTAAAGCAAATACACCTAATTTAGTGCCCCGCATTGTCTTCAAGAATAACGCGAATTTCAAGAGTACTTTTCAAGAATGTATCCAAGTCAGATTGTATTTTCTTCGCCCCGTTTACGCAATTTATATAACTCGACCGAGTCGAACCGACGGCAGGGCACAACCGAAGAATCACAATAACTGGTGACGATATAATCGTCCGATGTAGTGTACGTGAACAATGATAACACACAAACAAGTAGCTAAACAATCAGCGATGTTTGTTTACAACAACATGTATATTGTTTTTGATTGTCTAGATATGCAATTATTAAATGCTACATGCGAGGATGACTTATAATCAGCAGTACGTAAGCAAGGTATTTAATAAATATTTGTAATTTAAAAACTATTTACGTTACGTGAAAATTACTTTTCATTTTATGATTACGAAACACAAATGACGACTATATCTCAGTGTCGCAGAGTTTCGCAATTCGCATTATTAAAATTTAAAAATTAAAATCTTTTAAGTAACATAGTTGATACTGTTTACTGTGCTATCAGTTTGTCGCCTGACATTGACGTTACTGTCTTCAATCTTCATGTTTTCATATTAGATTAGAAACACACCGGAATCATATAATACTTAATAAATTATACGTAATATTTACAAAAATGTTTGTTTTATTTTTTTGCCAAAAGTTGTAATAATTATAATGGTAAATGTTTGAACTCTGACAAAATACAACCTTTCAGAACGATCAGTTCACCGCGCAGCCGCAATCATTTAAAATCATGCAAGTGCAGAATAGTCTTTAGGAAAACCTTTATTAATATTAAATTTATCATAGTTTTAATTTAGATTTAGTTAGTAAAATAAATAAAATGATAAGAAAAACTATTATAAAGGGATCAAAAAGAAGCGTTATTCGCTATTGTGTTAGGAATTGAATAGGAATGTTTCAGCAGGTATGAGTGCAGTGAAAAAATCAATACTTAGTGAAGCTATTAATGCATTCTGGTGCATCTTTGGTTGCAGGGTCGAGTTATAATTGTTTGGTTATCTTGGCTTATTGGAGGGATCTGCGGCGTGGTTATTCTGTTAATTATTATTTGTTATTGCCGCCTAATGCCGCGACATCAGAAATCATTTGGTAAATACTAATATTCATAATACTGAACAATTATAAATTACGTAGTCAATTGAATGTGTTATTTTGAATTTCAGATGAACAGTATTTAAAAGAAAACTATACAATAAAGGAAGGACACAGCTATACATGCCATGAAAGTTATAGAGTTAAACACACAGAGGTAATTATTAAATATATTTCTTTTTTTCTCAACGACATTTAGTTGTACAGTGCTAATGTAACATCAGAATGATTCGATGGCACAAGATTTTTATCCAAAACTTATACGTTTTAAATTTAAGAACTAGATATCAATGGTTTGAGTTCCTGATTTAATATTTACCTAAGCATCTATCTAAGATATATAAAATATATGAGATACTTATGGTTCTCAATTTTTTTATTGAACCATAGACTCATGTAGACAGATTTTGTATAAATTCCACATGGCACTGGGAGTAAATAATGCGAAATGAAAACCAATATTCCTTAATGTTATGATCATGCTTCTCAGACGGTGAGATATTTACAAGTATGTTTTGTAAGGTTCAAGTCCAGAGGCACACACGGCCCGCAAGCTATGCGGGTGATCCGGAATGTCGCGCCTCGCGTGCGCAGCCGCACTGCTACGTAAATCGGGTTCCAGAACCACAAAGAGATCAACAACAATATGCTTCGAGTGGAAGTAAATTTCTTTTTTATTCTAGAATAATGGAGCATGAGCATAACAAGACCAAACAATTTAAGTACATCAACTCACCAATTAACACAAAAACTATGAGATCGTTCTGTATCATACAATATGGTTGTTTGTTTTTCAAAATTAGTAGATTAGTTGTAGTAGATTTGAGATAACACATCAAAAATATTCACAAACATTTAATATTTTATTTAATAGTTTCTTCAATAAAACAGGATTGTTTAGACTTTAAGTAACAACAAACTCACTTTAAGTAGTAAAGTGACTTTGGAATTACGCAAAACGTGGAAATAATTTACATTTATATTTTATACATACATTGCATTAGTAATTTCATTCAGTTGGGAATGCGAGTGTACAAAAAGTTTCCCATTTTATTTATCGTAAATATTTTTAGTGCTAGATGAGATAGAGGGCGCGGCAAGCATAGACGCGCTAAAGACGCGATCATTGCCCGCGTTTTTGCGACCAAAACAACGACCACTGTCAACTGAAGATGATTTACATCAATTATATGCCAAGGTATTTCTTTTCATAGTATTTTTTTGTAAATTATTTTAAACCATACTTTTTCAAAACAAAGCTTTTACAAGTAATAAATATTATAAAAACACAATATATCTCAAAAATAATACAATTAGATTGCGATTGCCAAATCAATCTATTTATTTTAAACATTTATTTTTTAAATATTGATATAGTCACTATAAGATGTTGGTTAGCTACTGATCTGATGAACTAAATAATTTGGTCTGGATCTCACAACATTTTACGGTAGATGAACTGAGACTCACACTTGGTCTTTAATGGCATAATAATTTTTAACGGATTTAAATGCGAATTTATATTTATACATTATTTAGCCAACTTAACCTGTCTTATTAACCGTTAAGCATTCGACATGTCAAGTAAATAATGCAATGAATTCGTATTTAAATCAGATTACCAAAGACTGAGCGTTTTGCTATACCGAAGGGGCTTCAGTAATTAATATAGACTCTACGCGCAGGTGAATCTGAGCAAAAAATACAAAAATCGCATGCGAAGTGAGCACGCTGCCATCATAGCACTCAGCAAGTCTCACAGTCAGTTTTTGGACGCAGATGCCGTCATTGTTTACGACCAGAGGACTGCGCTTTAGATCTTAACACAGCTGACCGACTTCAAAAATTTATTCACGACAGTTATAATAAAATGTTGCTTAATGTGATAAATATAGTAAATAATGTTCTTTAGTGCTGACTGATGTGTGATAACCCTTACCCACTAAAAAATAAAAGAACACTAAGTGCACTAATGAGTCTAAATGGTTATTTGGTCGTTCTTCCATAACTTCCATGCGTCATTAAAAATGGTATAAAAAAAACGCTTGACTGCCAATTAAATCTTTTAAACGCTGGCAACACCAATTTCCGCCAGTGACAGATGTTAGCATCCTGAGCATAAGATCCGTATCGTTTCTTGTATTTCATTGGTTCAATCAATAAAATTTCCTTTTTGAAGTCAGGTCAAAGTTAATCTATATATGTACAACGCTGCAATATGTTTTTTATACGTAACATATTATGATGCAATTTTGCAATATTTACGCTGTTTGGTTGTTGATAATTATTTGCAATTAATGTAATGAAAGGCGTTTTATTTTAAATTGTTTTGTATAGATTGACATAAATGTAAAAAGCTCCATTTATTTACATATGTTATTAAATGGGTCCACGTGAATTCGTCTTTCATATAATTGGCTCAAGATTTACCTTCTAAGTATTATTGTTATATAAATTCTAGAATATTTTTATACAGAGTTGAACACTCGTAGTAAATTCGTATTATACGCATACGAAATTGTCATTTGAATTGCACATCGTTTCTATATAACTTCTGTTTGTAACATCAACAGAACCAAACTCGTACAGGATTTCTCAGTTGAGCTCTTGTCTGTCATAAATCTCAATAAACAAGAAACATTTCTTGGTGGTAAAGACATTTTTAAAATTCATTGCGGTAAAGTAATATAGAATTTTCAGACAAGGCCCAAAAAAAATTATATATTGATTAACGCTCAAATATGTCTCACTTTGATTTTGTCGTACAAGTTAATGTGTAAGCATATTCCATAACGAAAGTGGTTTAAATTCACTGCTCAAAAATGGTTTGATATATTTTGAGTGTCTTTTGTCTTATAATCTTCAATGTCTACCTACCCAACATATCAATACGATAGTTATAAGATTTTGTCATTATGTAAATTTACATCAAAACATATACTTAATCATAACATAATATCTTGAAATCTCTAATAGTCTTAGCCACAATATTAAAACTTCTTTCCTTTCTGAGGTATTCCACATCATATTCAACATAAATGCTCGCCACTGCGAGCGGAACGGACCCATTACGGACTTCGCTATACTCGTAACGATGATTTTCATACATATTCATTTCCGTGGGAAACTCGGTCAACTCGCTAACCTCATATGTGACTCTTTCAACTCGCTCTCTCCGATGCGCTCGTCTCCGCTTTGGTGGAAGCACCTGTATCATGTATAAGCACAAGTATAAAATCATCGTTACGAGTATAGCGGAGTCCGTAATGGGTCCGTTCCGCTCGCAGTGGAAGGCGAGCAAAACGGTCTTTTAAAAAGTTAACTAATGTTTATATGTATTCGTTACCATGGTTACCTTTATTGTAATATGTAAATAACATCGTAACCATGGTAACATAGTAATGGCCGGAAATGTTTGCAACAATTTGCAATGGGAAAATAGTTTTTAGATGAATGTTGCTTTGTGATATTTTGTATAATTTAGTAAACTGACTGTTCTTCTGTGATCTTTGATCATGGTTAGTATTAGTTTTTCACAATAGACTGCTAGTCATCCTAGGCATTAGTACATGATGAAAGAGTTGGTCTTAAATCTATTAGGCCTTGAACTTCGCACGTGTAGGTACATACCATGCCTTGGTTACGAGGGCCACGTAAATAAGAGAAGTATTGCGTGATGTGATTACAAAAAGATGGTCAGGGTAAGCAAAGTTCAACGGTCTATAGATTAGCCTGTGCTTAATTTAATGCCCAAAATAAAATTTGTAGAAATTGTTATTATATGTAGCATTTTATACGCAACTTTTGTATAAAACGAATTTTATGTAGAGTAAGCGTACCTATTAATAAAAAAATGTTTTTTGATTATATAAAGGATATAAGTTTTTTTATTTAAATACATATATGAAATTGTTTTATGTACTGTTTAATATGCGAAATTTTTGACGTTTAGCTAGAATAATTGTTTAATAATTATATAATTGTTTAAATTACGATTTTATTCGACAAATGACAATACTTTTTGTCCTATAGCTAATTATTTTGCTCTTCCATTTATACAAGTATGGAATATATTTAGTATGCATTTACGTATTGTTTAGGAAATAAATGATTTTGGGCAAACAATTTCTTTCTTCCATTGTTACTTCCTTTTGAACTTAGGACATCCAAACCTAGGATTAGTAGAACGATCGCTGAGTAATGTGGTCAAAGAAGTTATAATAAAAAAATGGTTGTCTGTAAAGTCGGTTTACGGACGATAGTTTTAACGTGATTCAAAACAAAACATTGATAAAATTAATGAATACTTAAGTCTTCGAGTGGAAGAGAGATAGATGCGGCGCATGCGTACAATGAGCGTAACGGGACGAGACATGCTTTTTCGTGCGTGCAACCAGCGTTCATCGATTTATGTATTACGTCAATACGTTGTTACGTTTGTTAACCTAATATCCTAGCTAATATCTATTCGTAGCGTTAGCAGTAAGGAGAAAGAAAGCCACGGACAGAAATACAGTGGAATATCGATAACTCTAACCTCGTTTAGTCGAAATTCTCAGTAAGTCGAAAAACATTGCCGAATTATTTAAGTTGACTTGTTATTCAAATTCGACTCTACATATCGAGAAATACACCTCTGTTAGTCGAAATTTCAGCATTAAATCAAAATCAAATATCTCGAAGTTCTTATTAAGTCGATGTCGAGTTCATGGATTACAGTTATCGGGATTCCACTGTATTTGAAAAAAGCTGGAGGAGACCCGTGAAGGGGTTCTGATCAATGTTACTGAAGGGAGGTAGGTCGTATAACTATACTACTAAATAAAATATCTCTTATGTATGAATACTTTATTACCATACCATACAATTGTAGTACATTCAATTATGATGAAAAATATTTTATTACCTTAATGGCTTTTAGAATACCTTCATATTTGTTTCTAACCACGATGGTTAGATATAAAAATAAATAAATACGACACTTTATATATAAAACTAAAATATGTACCTTAAAATAAAAACTACGTAAATCTAGTTATAGTTAATTGTGTTTAAACAACCTTATGTCACCATGGCAACGACATTTTTCAATGGTAGCCATAGCAACACGGTGCGTCTACAATCTATGGTTCATTTATAACATAACGACATGAGGGAACGAAGCTTTAAATGCTTCAGTTTAAGCCATAAAATATTATTTGTATTTAGTCAAATGTATCTTAATTAAAAAAGCACAAATGTTTGTCACGTTTCGCTACAAAATAATAAATAAAATAAAAATCAGTGGCACCACAACCTCTTTAGGTCTTGGCCTCAGATTTCTGAATCTGTTTCATGATAATTTTTAAATCTAATAGGCAAGTAGGTGATCAGCCTCCAGTGCCTAACTCACGCCGTCGACTTTTGGGTCTAAGACATGTCGGTTTCCTCACGATGTTTTCCTTCACGTTTCGAGCGAATGTTAGACAGGCACATATACAGAAAGTCCATTGGTGTACAGCCAGAGATCGAACCTACGACTTTAGAGAAGGGAGTCACGTGGTAAAGCTACTAGGCCAACACTGTTCTTTTCGAAAGAATACCTATATTACATATATTAAGAAGAAAAATTGTATGTTTATATGTAACAAATTCGTAAAAACTTTACCCATTAGCCCTCCATACATATTTTATTACAAAATACGTGAAAAGTGAATTACTCCAATGTCCTAAAGCTGGCCAGTGTTGGATAAGTCTTGAGTCGTAAAAGCTCCAACTCTGTTTGTAGGAGAACCACAGTTGTGTGATTCGCTTGAACTTCACGAATCAACTTACTGCGCATTACAAGCGTTTCCATACTAAAAAAAAATAGAATTGTATACACCGCCAGTTAATAATTTTTATTGATTCCTTTCGTAAATATTTGAACCTTTTTATATTTAATGTATTCTATCTTTGGCTATATCTTAAGTACAATTGATTTTTTGTTTGCTGTAGTTTTACGAAATAAATATATTTAAATAAACAAAATTACAATAGAAATTAAAAATAATTACAGGTGCCATACTTTTCAAGCAAACTTCTAAAAATTTATTCTATTATTATTCTTTATCGAAGAAAACTATATTTCCCGGTTAAAATTTGAAATTGTTCCAAATGCAATCAATAAACGCGCTCTGCAGATTCTGTTGTCTGCTTGTCAGTCTGATCTTTAACTTAAACTCGAAATATCTTTATTCATATAGGTAAACAAGTACACTTATGAACGTGGAAAAGAAGTTAAATTGATTGTAAATTTACATTTACTACCAGTTTCCAAGTTAAAGGCGTAGAGCGGGCAAGAAGAACTGGCAAGAAACTCTTCACCACTCTTTTTAATCGCTAAGTTTTGAGGCATACAAATTATTTCAACTGGAGTAAATCAATCCCAAGAATTATATAGAGAGGACTAGCTGACCGGGCAAACGTCTTTTTGCCATGTATATAATTTATAATAAAAAAATAGGGGTTGATCGTAGAGGGGTGAAAGTTAGGGGTTTGTATGTGTTTTTAAATGCTGTATCATAAAAAAATAAAAACAGAAAAAAATATCTAAAAATAAAAAAATATATATATTTAGGGGGATGAAAAAAAGATGTTGTCCGATTCTCAGACATACCCTATATGCACACAAAATTTCATGAGAATCGGTCGAGCCGTTTTGGAGGAGTATGGCAACGAAAACTGTGACACGAGAATTTTATATATTAGATTAGATTTATTCCTGTATGAGCAATAATTCAGCCTTATTTTTTGCCGTATGAGCAAGTGAGCCATCAGTTCTTAGTAATGGTGGCAA